AACACAGCAGCCCGACAAGGGCCTGGACTACTAGGTGCTTCTGATGCCCAGCTAGGTCACCACCTGCCCACACCCAACAGCCCTGGGCTGCTCTTTTAGTCTGTAACGGGCATGATCCCAGATCCTATCTGACAGTCTTGTGAGGGTAAAGGAAATAGTACATGCGAAGTGCTGATCTCAGCCCCAGGCAGACAGTAAGCATTTATGTTCCCATTATGGGGAATTACTGGGTTCTGGAGCAGCCTCCACGGCTGCAAATCCGGGCTCCTCTATTGCCTGGCTCTGTGATTTGGGCCAGTTACTTAATTCCTCTGGGCCTTAGTTTCCTCATCTGTAAAATAGGATAATTCATATTCTCCTCTGTCTCTGCCTCTCGGTTTCTCTCTGTCTGTCTGTCTCTCTCCTATTGGGAAGGTGATAGATGAACCTGTCCACGGAATTTGCACAGAGCTTGGTGGGGAGAAAGGGCCAAGAAAACAGTGGTTGTTATTGTTACTGTCTCAGGCCACCCTGAGGGCCTCGATTCTGACAACAGTGAGGAGGCGCCAGCTTCTGGGGAATCTTCCAGAGTTGCTGATCTGAGTTGAAGCAGGAAAAGATCCTAGAACGTGTGAAAATGGACTCTCTGCCCCCTCCGGTCTCCTGAGACCACTGCGTCCACGCCTGAGGGTCAGAATCTCAGGAAGTTCTTCTTTGCACCTAACCTCAATCCTTCCTTTGCTGGTCCCGCCTTCCCAGAGCAGCCAGCGAGCCCCCCTGCAGCTCCTGGCCTGCGAGCCCCATCCAGCTCCTGGGGCCTGTGCGGCTCAATCTCCTTCCAGGTCTCCAGCCAGACCTTCAGCAGAATCACCTTTGTTCTTGGGTTTCAGGACTTGGGGGGCAGAATGGGGCCCGTGTGAGGCCGAGGGTGGGCGGGGAGCAGCAGAGAGCTGGGAGCTGGGAGGCTGGAGCAGGAGGGAGGCAGGACTGCAGGGGCAGCCAGAGAAGGGAAGGGGTGTGGGAAACGGAGGGCGCAGGCAGGGCCAGCGGGGCTGGGAAAGAGAGCCTCGGGGAGGCCGGGGAGGCGCGGGAGAGGGAGGCCTCACACCAGACACTGTCTAGACACAGCAATTATTGTCAGCTCGGAACACCCAGGCTCTGCCGGTTCAGCTGAAAGGGAGCTTAACAAAGAGCCAGCGAGGAAGAAAGCAGGAGGAAAGCGCCCGCGGAGCCGGCTCCTCGCCCGTGGGGCTCTTTCTCTGCTCCGCTGCCCCCCTTTGTGCTGCTCCTATGTGAAAGCACAGCTCAGAGAAGCCCGTGGGGACCAGGCCCGGACCAGGGTCGCCTGTGGGTCTTGGGGGGTCAGGAGGGGGTGCATTGTGTGCTTGTGTTTCTTTCTTTGGGGGGCAGTGGCAGTGGGAACAGAATTCTGAACCGGTCTGAGGGGCAGCCCTGGGCCACCGACAAAGGTCTCTGGCCTCAGTTTCCTCACCTGCAAAATGGTGAGATGGTGGGGAGTTGAATTCTCCCTGGGGGGTGGGGGGAAGCCACAGCCCACACCCTGCAGCCCACACCCAGGAGCCAAAGGAACCTGAGACTGGCCCCCTGCCTGGCTCAGGCCTTGTCTCCGATGTCTCTGCCTCTGCCATTATTATCTCCATTTTGCAGATGAAGAAACGGAGGCACAGAGAGGCCAGAGCTCCTTTTGACAGGCACCTTTTGAGTTCAGGTTTGTCCCTTAAACTTTTTTTTTTTAAGATTTATTTATTTATACATACAAGAGCTGGGGTACAGGCCAGAGATGCAGGGGTTGAGAGGATTCACCAGAGACAGAGTGGGGCACAGAACAGGCAGACTGACTGAAATCCACTGCTGAGGGGAGCAGCGGGCGAGTCAGGAGAGGTCTGCCATATGCGCCATTGGTCACCTCCCTGGCCAGGGATCGAACTTGCGCTGCAGAGGCTGCGGTGAGCTTCATAGGTTGCGTCTTAACCCCTTGCACCACCAGGGAGGGCCCTGTCCCTTAATCTTAACCAGAGCTTTCAGAGATGCCCACCTGGGGAGGGGCGCTATTGGTGGTCCAAGAGTCTGCAAGAGGGGTCAGGGCTCAGGGGCCCAGAACACTGCCTCCTGCTGCGGGCAGAGTCACTGGGCCCTGGTGTTGGGGCAGCTCCAGGCTGGGCATCCGGGGGTGCCAGATGCCAGACCGTGGTCCCACAGTAGTGGAGGGAAGTGCTCGCTCATTTCCAGAGCAGCAGCAGGGAACCAGGCCCCCCTCCACCCAGTGCCCCCTGGGCTGACGTGGCCAGGCCATACCCTGGTCCTGGAGGGACGGGTGGTACCTCAGTTGGAGGGCACACACATACCCATAGGCCACCCCAGAGTCTGGACCCTGACATGTTCCACTCATACATACCCCTCCTCCAGTCTTGGGGGATAGGCCCCACCTGCCCTACCCCCCCCACATTTGCTGAGTTCTCCACTGTGTCCAGAGCTAGAAAGTACCCTTCTGCCCCATGTTTCCTTCGCTCAACAAGGACTACAACTCAGACCCCTTTAATGGCACTCAAGGCCTCCACAGACCAGATCCAGCCCCTTTCTGGAAGATTCCAGCACATTCCACAGTTCCACATGCAGTTGCTGCCCTTCTCCCTGTGCCTTTGTGCAAGCTGCTCCTTCTACCTGTTCTGCCCAGGTCCCAGCTCACACACCTGACTCCTGGGAACCTGTTTCCCTCAGCTGCCAGCCACCCCAGGGACAGCAGCAGCCTCCCTCCCGCACAGGGCACCTCCCTGACCAGCCTCCACACCAGGACTCCAACTCCTGTCCTCCCACACCATGTCTGAGGCCGGCCTCCCGCTGGGCTGGGCTGACGTTGCTCTGTTGCTCTCCTGGACCTTGTGCCACGTCCCTGTGTCTGCTCTTGGCCCCAAGTGAGCTTGGCAGACCTGCACGGTACTCTAGAAACACCCCCAAAGCTTCGCTGGCCCCAGGACACGGCCACACTGATGTTCTCTCGGGCCTGTGGCCTTGGGACCCTCGTCCCACCGGCCTGCCGCCTCCACCAGTCACCCTGCACCTCCAGAGCCACTCCTGGGCCTCACGCTCCACAGGGACACCTACACCCCCACAGAGGCCAGCCCCGACCAGCCACCAGCCCGTGCCCTCTCTGTGTTGAGAGCGGACTGTGCCGCCTCTGCCTCCCTCGTGCCTCAACCTGGCGCCACTCCAGGACAGGAGAAGGGGAGCCCTGCATCCCTCCCCGCCAGGAACCCCTCCCTGCAGAGGGCATGGGGCTTCGGTGCTGCTCCCCCAATGCTCCCAAGAGGGATCACTGGATGATCACCACAGCAAGGACAGTTGGGGTGCTGCCTGTTGTCACAGAGCCCCAGGGCAGGGCTGTGGCTGCCTTGTGTCCCCTCTCCAAGCCCAGTGGGGCGCTGCCCTGGGTTCAGGCCTGGATGGCAGGTGGACGCCTGGATGGGTGCAGCAGGAGAGCCCCCGCAGAGCTGGAGGAGAGGGGCCTGGGAGCTGAGCCAGAGGGGTGCAGGGAGGGGCCGGGGCCAGTGGCGGGCCCTCTCCCGTCAGGCCTCCTCCCAGAGACCCAGCCAGCTGGCTGCCCGGCTCTCGAGCCACCTCTCCTACCACGCCCCTGCACAGCCCCTGCACAGCCCCCGCGGCACCTCTCCGGGCTCGGCTCCGGCTCCCCTCTCCTGCCCACGGTCCCCTCCTCCCCTCACTTCTCTCCTCTCCTCTCTTCTTTTCTCTAGTCCTTCTCCCTCGCCTCCTTCCTTTCTTCTTCCTGGGTTAAAAATAATCAACTTTCTGGGAAGCAGCAGCTCCTGCTGAGCCGCCCTCCCCACACTTGGGAGCCCCTGAGAATAGCTTTCTGCGGTTCTCCGCTCCAGCCCCTCCTCCCCCTCCGGCCCCCTCCCCGCCAGCTGACTAATAAGCCGGGCGCAGCGCGGTGCCAGCTCGGCGAGAAAGGCTTTAACTGCTTCGTGCCCGGCTGCGGACAGGCGCGGCCCCGCTGTCGGGCGGCGAGGAGCGCCAGGTCACCCCCAAGCCCGAAGAACTGGGTGCCCAGTTAACGTCGCATGCTCGGAAACGTGACCTCCGTCTTCCAAGCCCCAGCCCGCGCCCGCGCGGCTGCCTCAGGCCCCGCTGCGGGAAGGGGCACCGCGGGGCGTAGGCGCGGACACCCCGGGGAGAGGCGTGCCTGGGCCCTGTGGGGTGCGCCTGGGCCCGGGAGGCGCCCTCTGCGCGCCGAGGACGCCTGGCCGGCCCTGGGCACGACCGCGGGGACCCCGCTGAAGGGGGGGCCAAGGGCTGCGGGGGGCCGAAAACTGTCCTGGGATCCAAGAACGGCCCCCCCTGCCGCGGCCTTTAGCGGTCGTGGATTCGCCTCTTGCAAAAGGGGAAACTGGGGCGCAAGGAGGCGCGGCTTCCAGGGGTTCTGGCTCAGACGCTGAGGGCTCCCCCCCGCCCGGCAGCCGCAGCCAGGGCCCCCAGCTCCCGCGCCCGGCCCCGCGGGCGCAAGGCTGGGGCGCGGCGAGGGACGTCAAGGTCAAAGGTGAGGGCCAGGTAGGGCGCGCGCCGGGCCCCGCGAGCCCCGCCGGCCCCGCCCCCTCCGCGCGGCGCGGGCATTACCTCATCGCGGCGCGCGCCCATTGGCTGGTCCCGCGGAGCCCGGCCCACTGCGGCGGCCCGTTAACCCCGTGCGCGCCGCGGCCCCGCCGGGCTGGGCGCCCGTGTCCGCGGCCCCCGCGGGGCCTGCGGGCGCGCGGGGGCCGCGGAGACCGGGCGAGGGGACGCGGGGTGGGCCGCGGCCGAGCACAGCCGCCAGCGCCGCACGGCTGGGGCGCCTCCCGCGCCGGGGGCTGTGCGACCTCGGGCCGCCGGCCTCACCTCGCTGAGCCTCCTCCGCCTGTGGAGACGGGCGTGAGGTAACGCCGGCCCTGCCCGCGCCTCCGAGCACGAGCCGAGCGCCGGCGCGCGTGGGCGCCCCGCGGTGCCTCGCCTCCTCACCGCAGGAGGTGCAGGGACGGGTTACTGGGGTTCGGAAGGAAAAACCGACTCAGAGCAGCAAAGCTGCTGCCCAAGGTCACACAGCAAGGAAGTCCCCGGGCTGAAACCCGCCCCTGAGATGGAGGGAGGGCGGGGCTGGAGGGGGGCGCCAGGGGCAGGAGGACCAGGACTCACATCCCCTGCTCATCAGACCATCATACCCACCGTGACCCGGTAAAACCAGTGATAAACTGGAAAGCCAGACTCCAGGGAGGGAGAGAGCAAGGCATGAGAGCAGGAAAGGAAGGCTGCCTGGAGGAGGAGGCACTGCAGTTGAACATTCAACCAGGGAGGTAGGAAGACCCTCAGACAAAGCAGAGGGACCGGAAAGAGCGTAGTGGGGGTACATGAAGGGGTTCAGGAAGCCTGGAGGTTCCCCTGGGGTGGATACCCAGATGCTGATGTGGGCCTAGGCAGCACTGGGACGGTAGTGCAGGGGAGAGTCACGTGCCTCGTGACTAAGTATTTACCAGTTATGAATCAACAAAGTCCTAAATACAATCTGTTCTGTCCTCCTTCCTTGACAAACACACCTTCCGAATGACAAACACACCTGGAGGCCAAGTTCTTACTCCTGGGTCTGCACTAGGGTTGGTGGCAGCAACACAAGGAGCAGCCCCCCTACAGCTCCCCCATTCACCCCCTAGATTCTCCCTGCCCCCCTTTTCCTTGAAGGGTCTAAGCGTTCAGGTGGAGATACTGCAGCTCATGTGCTTAAGCTCTGACGACACCCCCTGGCCACAGCCGCTCCGGCACCACCCTCAGGACGGGGGTGGGAAGTGGACTGGGCAGCAGTAAGTAGCTCTAGCTCGGAATGGCCCCCGGTTGCGAGGGTCCCTTGGCCCCCGAGGAAGGGCACAGGCCAGAGGGCCAGAACGCTGCTCTCACGGCCTGGGACTCAGGCTCCCCCTCCTCCTCGAGCTTGCTCTCCCCCGTCTTCCGGCCATGCTCCCCACCACATGCCACCCCAAACTCCTCCAGCCCCAGCCCGGTACTGACCAAGACCAGGGAGCTCCCCCTCCTGCCAGCTGCCCTCACCCTGCGCCTGTGCCTCGCTGCTGCACCTCCAGGCCCCTCTCTGGCCCCCGGTTCTCCCTCTCTGCCCGCTCCCCATGTCCATCTGCCCTCTGGCTCAGCCGGACATTTTTTTCTGACCACTTCCTTCCCTCCCTGACTGTCCCAGCTCTCCCGGCTCTCTGTGTCATTCCCAGGTGGGGGTGCTGGCTCCCCCTTCCCTCCTCTTCCCCTCTCCTCTTCCCTTTATTTCTCAGCTCAGCCACTGGGCCTTCTCTCCAGGCTGGACAGCTCTAGGTCCTTGCCACCCCGGGGGCCTTCACGCCTGTCAGTCCCTCTGCCTAGAACCCTGCTTTCTGCTCTTCATCTTGCCAATCTCAGCCCGGGGGTCCCCTGCCCAGGGAGCCCCAGACAGCCTGGACCAGCTGCAACCACACTGCAACGAACAGACTCCCCCCCTGGACCGGAGCGCCAGGGTTGCGGGGCGGGGGAGTCGTTTGGGCTTGTTCCCAGCAGAGAACAGAGGACCTGGCCCCGAAGGGGTGACGCGAAGCCTCACGGGACCGATGGGGCTGCACTGGACTAGAAAGCAAGCCCGGGAACGGGCACGAATATCTACCGGCTCGCCGTGCTCAGTCCTGACTTTCAGCACGGGGCGCGTGTTCCTCCCGCCTTCTCACTGCCGCCTTTGAAACAGGAATTTTCTCCCCCTTCCTACAGCACGAGGACATCAAGGGTTCAAAGGCACCTCACAGCTGGCCGCGCAGACCACCTCCCGCCCAGTCCCCAGCCAATGTCTCCAGCTTTCCGGCGGGAGCTTTTCCGCGTGTGCAACAGGATTGGCCGGAATGGTGCCACCTGCCTGTTCTCGCACAGCCAGGTCTCCTGACCGTTTCTGGAAAGTTCCCCTAATGACTAGCCCCTTGGTGAGCACCTGTCCCCTGCCCCAGGCTCGCTCCAGGGTTCTCTGGGCTCACCCCAGGGGTGAGGCCCAGGGGTTGGGCACAGGGAGGTCATCTGAGTGTGAGCTGGGAAGGTAGGTACTGTGTTAGGCTGTTGCTCAGCTGTTCCCGGCAGAGGAGACAGGGCAGGGAGCAGCCCGCTGGGGAAGAGGTCAGGCCTCAGAATTGAGCAGTACAGATTCTGGCTCCTCCGTGGAGCAGCCATGGGGCCTGGGTGGGGCACAGGACCCCAGCCTCCCAGCCTCAGTTTCTCCTGTTTTGCCTCTCTTGAGAGGAACAATCATCACGGGGCTGTAGGAACCTCTCAGCGTGCCTGGCTCAAGTCGGGGGAGGGTGGCCAATTTTCCTTCTTGAATCAGGGGGTTCCCAGCAGGCAGGAAACTGAGTCCCTGGCTCCCCCAATCAAATTGACCATGTGGTTTTAGAACTCACCTCCATGTGAAACATTCAGAGGAGCGACCCCTAAGCCCGGGCCAGGTAACCTGATTGTCCCCGCCTGGCCGTCTTGCCGTCTTGTCGCCGGAGCTGGCTGGTGCCTGGCTGCCATCTTGCAGGTGCTGCCCCTGCCCTCCCAGGCTGGCGATGCAAATGGGCTGAGCTGCTGGGGTTGGGGCTTCAGGCAGACTGGAGGCTCGAGGTCTAGGGGCCCGGGGCCTGGTGGACAGGGGCCAGGGTAATGGGCCCTGGGGCAGCATCAAGCTTGGGTCCCCCACCAAGAGCTCAGCATATCATCTCAGGGGCTCTTCACAATACCCCTGTGGGGGTTCGTCCCCATTTTACCTCTTAAGGGAGGAAGGTCTGTATGGATATGGAGATTCAGAGAGGGACAGTGACTTGCCCAAAGGCACACAGCAGAAGGAGGGGTCCTGCTTCTGCCCTTGATCAATCCGCCCCCTGCTTCAGGCAGAGGTGCTCATAGACAGGATGTGTGAACCGTTAAGTTCTGGAAGATTCCCTGGGACACACACGGGGGCCACTGACAGAAGCACTTGTTGGGTGGTCTGTGTGCGTGTGTGTTTATTGTGAGGTCAGGGCCGCACCGTGTGTATCCAGAGTGGTCCGGGGATGTGTGGGGATGTGTGCAGAGGTCTGTGGCATAGGGAGGGTGTGTGTGTGCATGTACACACCTCTGTGTCTGTGCTCTGTGTGTGGTGTGGCATGTGCTGTGGGGGAGAAGACGCTGTCGTGCATATGAGAGAGAGAGAGAGTGTGTGTTGTGGGGTGGTGGTAACTGGGACACTCCCCAGGGGACGGGCTGAGGCAAGATGGAGGAGGAGATGTTAGCAGGAATCTGGGAGGTGGGGGGGAGGGGAGCACAAGCAAAGGCCTGGAGGCAAGAAGCCGCCTGGAGCACTGGAGGACTTGAAAGCGTTCCAGTAAGGGGCGGGGAGGGGGGGGGAGGCGAGGGGGGTGCAGGGCAGGCCTTTCTCTGCTGGTCTCAGGGTGTCTGTGGGCAGGAGGCAGAGGAGCTGAGCAGTCAGCCTGGGATCCCAGACCTGGGCCTAATCCCTGTTCAACGCTGAGAACCGCAGCCGAGTAGGTGACCTGACCCCAAAATGCCCCCCTCACCCGTCCCCACAGTGCCCCACAGCAGTCACGCCACTGGGCGTCTTCATAGCTTGAGCCTCTGTCCTCATACATACCCTGTGGTTTCTACACCAGACCATCCCCTGTTTCGGGATGAGAAAACAGACCCAAAGTCCTCTGGCCTGGCCGGGCGCAACACCAGGGGCCCTGCTCCACGCCCCGGGGTGAGGCGGGCTTCTCAGCACATGGCCAGAAGGGTCCTGGACCAGTACGAAAGGGTGACCACCTGTGACCCAGCAGGGAGAACTTGGGGCTCAGGAACGCGGCTCTGTTGCCCGCCTGCCATGTGACCCTGGGCCAGTCCCTTTCCATCGCTGGGCCTGGGCTCACCTGGCTGTGCACCGAATGCCCTCCCTGTGCCCGGGAGCATTTGCTGAGCACCCAGCAGCGGGCAGAGGAGAAAAACGAGGTGCAGAGAGCTTAAAGGGCCTGCCCGCGTCAAGCCATCTGCTTAAGGTGCCTCTAGTGGAACCTGGAACCCCAGGCGTGCCCTTCACCCGCGTGCTCTCCAGGGCCCCGAGCTGTGCCCGCCCCCAGGGGCCGCAGCGCGGGTGGGCGGCCCCACGCGGCCCCGGGCCCCGCAGGCGCCCCACGGGCCCGCGGGCCGAGCGCGGCGCAAACAGACGGCGCGGCCGGCCGGGGGCGGCGATGACTCAGAGCCCCGAGACCGGGCCCGCCGAGGGTTGGGGCCGATGACATCAGCGGGGGCCCGCGAGGGCGGGAGCGGCCGGCTCCGGCAAGGGGCGGCCTGGCGGGCGGCCGCGGGGCGGGGGCGGACACGCCTGGACGCCGCGCTCGGCCGCGCCGGAAAATCCCCCCAGCCCCGGCGCAGGCCCCGGAGCCGCCGCGCGTCCGCCGGCGAGGAGCGGCCTCCGCCCGCCCGCGAAGACGCCGCGCTCCCCGGCGCTCCGGAGGCAGCCGCATCCATCCTGCTGCGTCCCTGCATTTTAATTACCGCCGCATTAATATTCATGAGCCGGGACTCGAGGGGGACCGCGGGCTGTCACTTCCCTCGCCCGCGCACCCACCGCCCCTCTCCCGGCTGAGTCGTGGGTTTTTTCCCTCCCGCTCCCAGCCCCGCCCGTGCCAACAGTTGGTGCACAGCAGATCTGGGGTGTGTGTGAGTGTGAGCATGAGTGTGAGCAGGTGTGGAGCCACGGGCAGGCGCGCGCTGGTGGGGAGGGCCGGGCGCAGGGCGGGGGCTGCTGTGCGCCCAGCGCGCCCGCGGGTCTGTGTCAACGCGCCCTCGTGGGCTGGCGCGCCTGGTGTTTGCTTGTGTGAGCGCGCGTGTCTCTGCACCCCGTGTCTGTGGGCACTCGGCGCTGTCTCTGGCAACCAGGGCCTGGGTGCAGGCTGCGGGAGGCAGCTGAGAGTGGAGGTCCGCCTGGGCTGGCCGAGGGAGTGGGGTGGTCTGGGTGAGCAGGACCTGACTGCACAAATGGGGAAACTGAGGCCTGGAGGGAAACTGGGCCTGATCTCAAGTCACCCCACAAGGGACCAGAGCCCAGGCCCTGGCTTTCAGCCATCTCCCCCTCCCGGCAGCCCCATGCTGCTGCTTATAACAATAGCAGACAGAATGTGCTGAGCTGATGCCTCTCCGTGACCTTGTGTAGCCGGGATGCTGTCAGTCCCCTTTGCACACGGGGAAACTGAGGCAACTGGTTCATCTAGTGAGGGCTGGAGCTGGAGTCCAGAAACAGGAATGGAGTCCAGAGCCCCTGGTCTCAGCCACTGCACCATGCTGCCCCCAGTGAAACTGTAGGGCGGCACTACTGAGTGATCTGGGGGGTACCTGAAAGTCTGTGTCAGAAACACAGCTCCCTCCCTCCCAAGTGAGGCTGCTTTGCTGTGGCTCTCCCAGTGCTCCCCCACTCTCCTCCCCTACCCCCAAACCTGCCCTGAGCCACCTTGCACAGCAGGGGGTCCACAGGACACAGGAGGTCTTGCTTCACAGGGGAGCAGGCAAACAGACTTCAAGGCACCTGGCCCTCCTCCCTGGGGCAGGGGGCATGTATTCACCCCCTCCCCAACTCACCCATCCATCCATCCATCCATCCAACAAGTGCTCGACTGTCTACTACGTGCCTGTCACTGTCGGCCGTGGGGGGTCTCTAAGTGTACACGGAGCCCAGACCACTATTTCCAAAGCTGGTCCTGGGGGGGTATCCTGGGATCTAAGAAGGGGCCTGCCATCATCCCTTCTAGTGGCAGGGGCCTCGGGGCACCAGTGCCCAAGGCAGCTTCCCACTGCCAGCCTTGCCCCAGAGGCAGTGGTGCTCTTGCGAGGGGGTAAGTGGGGGTGCCAGAGAAGAGCTGTGCCGTCTTTGGGCTGCTGGGGAGCTGGTCAGGCCACGCTGGGCAGTCTAGATCGTCGCTTTTCTCTCCTTCTGGAACTTGGCCGCCTCCTCTGGCCTCTAAGCCAAATAATCCCAGGGGCCGGTCCATCATCCTTCTGGGGGTGAGCCAAGGCCATCCTCTCACGTCTCTTCTGAGCACCCACAACAAGCTGACTGTTCCCTGCTCCCTGCCCGCGCAGGCCTGTGCTGGAACTCATGTCCCCCAAGACCTTCTCCCCTCCCAGGGGACCACGCAGCAACACAAACAAGGGGGCAGGAGATGAGACGCAGCCCAGGACTCTCTGGAGAGCAAGCAATGGGCTTCGCGGGGCTTGGCAGGCGCATGGGGGGCTGGGGCCAGAGGGTAGGAGAAGCAGCCTGGGTGGGGGGTGCTTCGGCCCCTGTTCAAGGACCCAGCTCAGGCAAAGGCGTGAGATTTGGGGAGTTGTAGGGCTTCTCCGGAAAAGCCTGCAGATAGGGTCTCTTGGAGGCGCCCACCCTGGGTGAAAATCCCCTACTGGGAGATCTTGGGCGAGCCACCGAGCCCCTCTTCCCCATCTGTAAAGTGGGGAAAGCAACACATTTTTGCGGGATGATATTCAGAGTAAGAGACAGCACCCCTGATGCACCCACATGGACAGTCTGTCCCCAAGGACACAGGGCGAAGGCCTTGAGGTCGCTGTCACCACTTAGCCCAGCCCGGAGGAGTTTGGGATTTAGAGAGGACAGACTTCCTGGCGGGCAAGGGGGGGGGGGTGGAGACAGGGGAGGGACAGGCCGAAGTTTGGGTCAGGGAAGGCTCCAGGGTGTAGGTAAGGGGGGGGGGTGTCAAGGCCCCCAGGGCCCACCTGCTCAGCTCAGTTCCGGGCGGACCTCTGAGTCAGTGCTGCCAGCTCGCCCATCACTCAAACAGCCACAGCCGGAGATCCAGGAGTGGCGAGGCGGGCCCCACCCGGGCTCACTCCTGAGTGCCTCCTCCGGCTCTGCCTGCTGGCACCCTCTTTACTTTGAACATTTCCTTTTGGGGGAATAGTCCTACCTGTGTGGTGGAACTGTTTTATAAAGGAAGTGCTGTAAATGTTCATGCAATGCACCTTGACCCTGTCTTCCTGGCTTTTTTGTGTTTCCAGGACATTTCTCTGCCTGTAAACTTTCTAGAACTCCCGCAGGATGAGATCTGCTCCAGCACCTCCGTGACTCCCCGTTTTTATAGAGCAAAGGCAGTTTTCCAAGGCCTCTGCTGTTGTCCAGCCTCAGCAACACCACTCCAGTGACCCTCCCCAGTGTAAGTCCTTTCCTGCACCCCCATCTCCGCCCCCCGGAGTGGTCCGTGACTGCTCATGCCTCTTCCTTGCTCACCCTTTTCCCTAACCTCTGGCCTTCAAGCTCCCCACCCCACACACCAGAGCACACCTCCTCCTGGTGTCCCCACTGCACTGCGAGCACATCCCCCCTCAAGGAGTCTGGTGTCCCCTGGACACTGTGAGCTTCTCAGAGGTGGGGCCGTGTGTCCCGATTTTTATTGCTCCCCAGCGCGATGTCTTAAACACAGTAAGGGCTTGAAATGTTTTCTGTTGTTTTTTTTGTGAAATAACTTTGCCTTTTCATTTTACTTGGTCTATAGTGACTCGGGGGCGGGGGTGCTAAGTCAGTCGGTGGATTAGGGCTGGTTGAAATCCTGATTCTCTGTTTCCCAGCTGTGTGTCCTTTAGAAAGCGAATCAAGCTCTCTGAGCCTCGGTTACTTTCATCTGGAAAATCAAGTTAATAATCACACCTCCTTCCAAGAAAAGCAGTAAGATAACGGTGTGTGTAAAACAGTCATCCGTGGTCTGAAGCAAAGTGGCTGACCGGTTCTTCAGACTTGTCCAAGGGCACCTGTCCAGTTGGAGGCAGTCCTAGGAAAACACACGCCATGCTCTTTCTTCCCTCTGGCGCCTGAGGGTCAGAGGTCAAGGTCTGTTTTATAGATAGGGAGAACTAGGTTCAGAGAGGTTGAGTTGCTCAGCCTGGGTCACACAGCCCCCAGAGTGAAGTAAGGGGCAGCCTGCCGGCCAAGCTCCCAGTGAGACCCACCACCCTGACTCGGGGCTCTGCTCCTTCTGGAGGCCAAGGGATGAGTGTGGTGGACGCCTCAGAAACGGAAGTGGGACAGTCACTAAAGGGAACAGTGAGGAATTGTGTTGCCTGCTCACAGGCACCTCAGTCCTCACAAGGACCCTGTTATCCCATCTTCCAGGGGTGCTCACTTTGACTCCCGGATGTGGGGCTAGAACCTGCACTCCCACCTGACCCCAAACTCCACCACCCTCCTGCCCAGTCGCCCAGTGGCTGGGAACAGTGGTTTTGCCTCCAGATCTGGGGTTGAAGCTACAGATCTGGGGAGGCCAGCCACTCCCCAGGGTGGGGGATGCTTCCCAGATCTCGCATAATTTCTGGGAGATACCCCAGCCCTAACCCCAGCCCCACGGAACCTGCTTATGTCTCTGAGTCACACCCAAATTCTTCCCGGCTTTGCCAGGGAGACTGGAAATTTCTGCTCAGCAGCTTTGTGGTCGTGGTTGGAGCGGATTTCAACACTGGGCTGGAGGCGGGGAGGGAGGAGCCAGGCTGCTCAACAGGCTCTGCATCTCCCCGGCTCTGCTCTGGGGGAGGGGGCTTTGCTGGGCCTGGTATTACCCTCAGAAACAGTAATAATAAACAAGCAGCTCCAGTAACAGCGACCCTGCTGAGAGCTTGCTGTGCTACCTCAAGACTTGCATGGTTTCGAGAACCTTCTGGAGCCTAGGCAAGGCAGGTGGGATTACAAACCCATCTCATGGACGAGTGAGAGAGGCTCAGAGTGATGAAGGTAGAGCTGCCCCAAGCCACGCAGCCAAGCCCAGGCCTGGGACACTCCAGAGTCCAGCAGACCCAGGTCATGGAAGGCAATGGGGGATACGCCCAGGGCCCCTACAGCAAGCTGAGAACCACAGAGGCAACCATAGCTCAGCCAGAAACAGAAGGCATGCTTGGAACTGGGGTCTCTGTTAGCCTCTAGGCGTGTCCTCCTGGAGACCTCCAGGGATCTGGAAACCTCTCTTTTCTGGCCCTGGCAAACCTCCAACCCTGCCTGGTCCTGGGGCTGTGCGTCTGGCCCAGCACGGTCAGATGGACAGACACGCTGGCCGGGGCTGCCTGCAAGGGCTCCGGTCAAATTCAGCCAGAGGGTTGCTGGGGCCCCTGCTGTGTGCTGGCCCAGACCCCACCCCGAGGCTGTCACCAGTCTAAGCAGGGGGTGGGGGGTGGGGGAGCAGAGGGGCTGCAGTAAGGGAAGGAGAGACACCCCGGCGAGCGGCGAGGGCCTCCTCTGGACTCAGGCTCCCCCCTCCATGGGCCCGCAGACGCCGGCCGTCGGGGGTGGCTGAGGACTCGGAACGTTCCTGGGAACAGATCGTGGGGACCAAAGGGGGCCACCCAGGCGTGGTTCCCGGTTCCCCGGCCTGCCCACCCGGCGCTGTTCCCGCCCGGGCGCCCAGGGCGCAGGGCGCAGCGCGGCGCGGGCCCAGGCGCCCGGTTCAGCGGAAAGGAATGTCTCGCGCGGCGGGGGAGCCGCGGCCCCGAGGCCCTGCAAACCCCCCGCCCTCCCCGGGCCTCATTTATTGCGGCTCTAAAGCCGGCTCGTTGCGCCGGCCGGGCGGCTCGCCAGGCTCCCGGGGTGACTCACCCGCCCTCCCCGCCGCGAGATCCTGCCCCTCCCGGCGCCGCCGGCGGACCCTCGCCCCGCGCTCGCCCGAGACCCGGGAGCCTCTCCCGGGGTGGGGGGGGTGCGCGCGCCCCGGCCCGCGGGAGCCGCCGCCCCGCCCCCCGCGCAGCGGCCCCCCCTCCCCGCGCCGCCCGCGCGCGCTCCCCCACCTCCCCTCCCCCCGCCCCCCGCCCCCCTCCATAACTCAAAAGCTTGTCAAGCTGGTTCCAGACTCCTGGCGCCGGGCTCCGCTCCAGGAAAGAAAAAAAGGGAAAAGAAAAAGGGAAAAAGCCGTCGCGAGGGACAGGGCGAGAGAAGGGCCCGCGGAGCGCGGCTGCGCGCCCCTCGTGCGCCCCGCCAGCGTGCCCGCCCGGCCCCGCGCCCCAACCCTGCTGGGGAGCCCCCGCCCCCGGGGCAGAGCGCGCGCCCGCGCGGGCCTGTTATTTACGGGCGAATCAATTCTTTAGCCGCCGGGGGAGGGGCGGGGCGGCGGCGGCCCGCGGGGCCTCGGGGTCGCCGGGCGACCCTACGCCGGGGTCCCGCGGGGAGAACGCGAGGCGCGCGGGGAGCCTGCGGACGGCCGCGGGAGAGCCGGCCGAGAAGCCCGCCGGGTGGAGCCGGGAAGCGGCTGGGGGGCAGCGGCCAGCGGTGGAAAGGGCGTGGGAAGAGCCTGGCCTGTGCGTTCTGTCCTTCCCACCTGGCCTGCGCGCCCCCCGCCGGGCCTCCGCACCCGCGGCGGGCGGTAGGAGGAGGTTGGGAGCAGGACTGTGGGGCCAGAGGCGATCCAGCGCCTGGCATCTCCCCTGCTGTGTGCCCTTAGCAAAGAGCTGGCCCCCTCTGAACCTCCCTTGCCTTGTCTGCAAGATGGAGGCGGGTTATGGATTCAGTGAAAATAGGTGCTGGCGCAGGACCCCTGCAGAGTGGGGGTTGGGAGGTGGGGCCTCTTGGGGGGATATTATTTACATGGAAAGAAACATGTCCAGGAGGGGCCCAATATACTCCATTCCCCACGCAGACCCACCCATCTGCCAGAGCTGTGGGTCCAGATTAGCGGCCTCCTCCCCTCCCCAGGTTGCAGACATCTGAAGGTTAATGTCAAAGCCACAGCCACCCAAGGCCTCTGCCCATGCCCCACCTCTGGCTTCCGCCAGCCTGGCCCTTCAAAGGCTGCTGCATATGGCGGCCAGAGGGTTCTGCTTAATGCTCGGTCTAACCCTCTTGCTCCCTGATCTCCTCCAACGACTCCACTCTCCCTCCAACTTGCTCCCCCAGCTTCCAGTCTGGGCCATCCAGGTTTGGGCCCTGAAGTCACGTGCCCATCAGAAAAGGAGCAGGGCTCAGCTCTCAGGATGGTCCTGGCCTCCCAGGGCAAACTTCACCCCTGCCTGGGTGCCAGCGTGTTCTCCTCCCAAGGTCAAGTCTAGGAGGCTTCCTTTGCAGATCCTGGCTCACTTGGTTCTCACCAAATCTTAGGCAGACCTGGCTTTTGTGAGTCCTGAGGCTTTTGCAATCTTAGGGAACCTCTTTAAGAAAAATAATGCAAATTTATGAATACACAATTAAGCCCAGGGCCTTGACAGAGCCCAGGCAAAGGAGAGTCCCTGGAGCTAAAGCTTCATTGGCTTTTTGGTAAATGGCTCTGTAGGTGGCAGACCCAATTGGCATCCCTTTACAGAGCTGGAAACAAAGCTTGGGAAGGGAAGTCGCTGGACCAAGGTCATACAGCTGCAAAGAATAAACCTGAGGTTTAAGCCCAGGTTTTATTCCTCAGGCCACACTTAAGAGGCTGCCTCTACTCCCTGCCTGCTCCCCTGCCCCACCACCGCCAGCCCAGGCGGGGTCAGGGAGAGCCTCCTTTGCCTTCAGACTGGCTGTAGGGTAAATGTTTGTCAGGCTTTTCCGCCCTCCCGCCATTGGGATGGATGATGGATCCCTGAGGTCCTGAATGCATGCCTGATGGCGGCACCTGGAGTGGGGTGTGGGCATGCATAGGTGGGTGCACCTGGGCTGAGACTGGGCTTATAAGGGCGCAGAATCCAGCGTAGCAGAGAGAGAAGCAGAGGCCACGAGAGAATGACAGAGAGCCCAGAAAGAGTGAAGACGTGCTGGGGGCTGGGAGGCCTGCCAGCCTGCCGGCCCTAGCCCTGGCACCCCAGCACCCCAGCACCCCTGCCTGCCCTGTTCCTGGTAAACTCAATAGAAGCCTGAAGAAGCCACCGAGGGCTCCAGGACTCTCCTGTACCCCCTCTGCTTAGATCAGAGAGATCCTGCTCCCTCCCTTGCTGCTGCCTATGTCACGCCTTCCCTCCCACCCTCCCCCCTCTGTCTCCCCCTCCTCCCTCCTGTGCTCCCCTATCCCCTCCCGCTCCCTCTCTGCTTCTCTGCTCCCCTCTTTCTCCTGCCTCCCTCCCTCCTTCCTTCCCAGTCTCCAGGCCCAAAGCTCAGCTAGGAGACTTGCGGCCTGAAGACCAGCACTCGGAACCAGGAGGCAGGTCTCTTCCAACCTCTCCATTCCCAGGGCTCTCTGCTCATTCTGGAACCCAGTCGCCTCAGCTGACACTGACAGACCATCCCCTGGTAGGTGGTGAGCTCCCCCTCCAGATCTGTCTTCTCTGGAGGAGCAGCCCAGCTTTCAGCACAGTGTGGGCACAGGGCAAAGTACATTCAGCAGTAATATCTACTTCCAGACTGTGGGATGGCAGCTTGGGGTGGGGAGTCGGGGGCAGGGGGCTTACTCCCTGGGCCCTTACTCTCTGGGCAAGGACCTGGGACTCTGCATTTTGCAACTCCCTTAGGTATATCTCAAGCAGTGAAGTTTGAAACTCACTGACTGGGGGCCCTGAAGGGGGATCAGTTCCCTTAACTCTGGTCAATTTTACCAGTGCCTTGAGCTCATCTTCCAGCTTCAAGCTAATCATTTTTGAACACTTACTAAAGACCTACTGTGTGTCCCAGTCTGGACCTGATGTTTCAATAGTCTACCTCATTGGATATTCACAACCCCCTCACCCAAAGTAGCAACAATTGTCCCCATTTTTCAGATGGAGAAACTGAGACCTGGGAAGGCGAAGGTGGCTTACAGAAGACACAACACTGTGGAATGAAGAGGCTGGAAGGAGCAGTGTCTGCAGGGCCACGGAGCTCACAGCCAGCCCTTCCTCCCACTACCCAGAGAAGAGGCAGGCTGGTGGCCCCCACCTCCAGGGTGTAACTTGCCAGGGTCTTGCGAGAACATTCAGAGAGGAGAGTTCATATGCCAGCCTGTGAAAGGCTGCAGAAAATCAAACATGCTCCCGCGTCACTACAGGGACCCCACGCTCAGAAGTGTGACAAAATCAGGCGACAGGCCCCAAAGAAATCTAATCAAGTAAGCCTCTTCTCCTTGGTATCTTTGGAGTCAGCGTTCTGGGGAATGTGTGTTTGCAGAAGGATTTGATGTATTTGCTTCAGGCAAATCTTTGCCTTTTCTCTGCCTGCAGTTCTGGTACAAAAGGGAAGAAACTGACAGAACCAGGTCTGATGGTGGGCACTGGGCACTGCACCCCGCAGCACCCTGGCTTTTCTGCAGGGGACACCTTATCCAGTGCTCTGCATAATGGCAGCCCCACTTTACCTGCTCCAGGAGGGGGAACGATGCCCAGCACTGGAGAGGCTTCAGGTAGGAAGGAAAAGATCCAGTGGTCACTGCTGCTGAAGCCTGTGGGCTAGCTGGAGTGGGGGCAGCGTGGGGAGCTTGTTCTGGGAGGATCCTGAAAACAGAAGGAGGGGACATCACCCAGAAATGTCAATTTTGTTTTACAAGATAACTACATAATAGTTGGGGTAGCCTTGTGGGTAGTGAGTACCCCACCTGGGGAGGTATTCAAGGACAGGTTGTGTGTGTGTGTGTGTGTGTGTGTGTGTACACATAGCCATGACTCAGGAAAAACATCAGCTGAGGCAACTTTGAAGTCTTTTTCAGTATTGAAACTGGGAATTTCCATTCCTAACATAACTGACCAACCCAGTGAGGCTGGTGGGAAAAATCACCTGCCACTCACCCCCCATTAAAGCTGAGGCCCTGACTTCTTTTCCACCTGGCTCTGAAACAGACTGGGAAAGGGAGCTGGGGATGTGGGCAGAGGGCTGGGAGAAGGCGCCCTCCCACCCACAGGGCTACTGAGCAGCAGAACCCTGAGTGGGACTGAGGAGGGGTCCCGCCTCGTGTTTGACCCCAGCAATTTCCAGGCTGGAGTTGGGCCTGGGGCTGGCCTTCTGGTCAACCCCAGTAGCCTCCAGGCTGAGGCTGGGGCCTCCTTAAGGTCAACCCCGGCAGACTCAGGCTGGGCCTAGGGCCGGCCTACCAGCCCTTGGGCTCCCAACAGGACTGCCATGTTTCCACGTTCACATGTGTTCCTTTCCCTGATAGTCGTCTATAAATGTCCTTTAACGGGGCCTCCCCGGTGGCGCAGCGGTTGAGCGCTGGGTTGTGAAGCTGCCCGCGGACTCTGCGGCGCCGGCTCGATCCCCGGCTGCTCCCCGGCCACCGGAGGAGGGTCCCACATGGCGTGCAGACCTCTCCTGCCGCCCGCTGCTCCCCCCAGCAGTGTCCTTCGGTCCCTCTGCCTGCTCTGCTCCCCGCTCTGGCTCTGGTGAATTCTCTCACCCTCCTGCGCTTCTGACTGTACTCAGTGCTTGTACAAATAAATCTTTTTTTAAAAAAAAAAAAACAACACTGGATTTTCTCTCTAAAAAAAAAAATGTCCATTAACCTTCACTATTATAATGATTGGAAATAACACTGATGATAACTGATTATCACTGGCCAAAATACCTTCATGAACTGAGCTTTAGCTGAGACTGGTTCAACCTGGGCACTGCTTGTGTAGAAACATGTGAAATCCGCATGACAGTCCTGTGGGCGGTGACCATCTATGTCATTCCTGGTTTATAGAGGAGGACACTGGGGCGCAGAGAACTGACCTGCCGCTTCCAGGCTGGAGCTGAGGCTGGCCTTCTGTTTGACCCCGACAGTTTCTAGGCTGGAGCTGGGCATGGCGCCCACCCTTTGGTTGACCCAGGCTGGGACCAGTGCCTGGTCGACCCTGGCAACCTCCAGGCGGGGGCTGGTGACTCCTGGCTGACCCTGGCAGCCTCCAATGAGGGCTGGTGATGTTTTTTTGGTGTATTTAGGGAGCCGCCAGGGTGGTGCTGGGGCCAACCTCCACTTAACACAGGCAGAATCCAGACTGCAGTGGGGCCGGCCTACTGGTCAACCCTCTCACCCTATGCTTAGCAGGGAAGAGCCTGCTGGTCTAACAGCTCAGCCTACATCTTATCAGGAACCAGTCTGCCCTACAAAAAAGACTCTCAGACCTCATGCTGAGCTGTGGCCCGCCTGCTGCTCAACCCCCTCAGCTTCCAGGCAGAGCTAGGATCATACTGCCAGTCTACCCTCACAGCCTCCAGGCTAGGCTGGGGGCCACCTGTCGGTCGACCCCCTCATATTGCAGGCTGAGCTGTGTACGGCCTGCCATCGACCCCCTCAGTCTCCAGGCCAATCTGGGGCCTGCGTGCTGGTTTACACCCTCAGCCTCTAGGCCGAGCTGGGTCTGACCTACTGGTCCAACCCTTCAGCCTCTAACTTCAGCTTGGACTGACTGCGCACGACCACCTCAGAATCCAGGCTGAGCTGGGTCCTGTCTACCAGTCGAGCCCCTCAGCTTCCAGGCTCAGCTGGTGCCAGGCTGCCTGTCAACTGACCCCTTCAGCCTCCAAGCCCAGCTGGGGCCGGATTGCCGGTCAATCTGCTCAGCCTTCACGCCCAACTGGGGCAGACCTTCTGGTCAACTCCCTCAGCCTCCAGACTGAGCTGAGGTCTGCTTACAGGTGGAAACTCTCAGCCTCCAGGCCGAGCAGGATCCAGGCTGCAGGTCAACACCCTTAGCCCCCAGGCCGAGCTGGGGCCTGCCTGCTGGTCAACCCCCTCAGCCTCAACCTGAGATTAGACGGTGCCCTCGACCCCCTCAGAATCCAGGCTGAGCTGTTAGACCAGCAGGCTCTTCCCTGCTAAGCTGGGGCAGGTTGACTCCCTCAGCCTCAGCCCTAGCTGTGGCCAGCCCCCAGTGGATCCCCTCAGCCTCCAGGTGGAGCTGGGGCTTGCCTGGTTTTCTACCCCCTTCACCACCAGGCCTAGCTGGGTCTTACCTAGCTAAGGTCGACCCCCTCAGCCTCAAACCTGAGTTTGGTCTGCCTGTGCTCGAACCCCTCAGATTCCCGGTTGATCTCTGTCTGTCCTGCCGGTCTACCCCCTCAGCCTCCAGGCGCAGCTTTGGCCGGGTTGCCGACCGAACCCTCATCCTCCAGGCCGAGCTGGTGCCAGGCGGCCAGCTGAAGCCCTCAGCCTCCAGGCCAAGCTGGTGCCTTCCTGCCAGTGGACTCCCTCAGCCTCTAGGCCGAGCTGTGGCCAAGCTGCTGGTTGACCCCCTCAGCCTCTATGCCGAGCAGGGTCCGGGCTGCTGGTTGACCACCTCAGCCTTCAGGCCAAGCTGGGTCCTGCCTACTGGTCGAGCTCCTCAGCCTCTAGGCTCAGCTGGGGCTGGGCTACAGCTTGACACCCTCAGCCTCCAGGCCTAAGCGGGGCCGGCCTGCCAGTTGACCCCCTTATCTTCCAAGCGCAACTGTGGCTGGGCTACTCGTCAAATTCCTCAAGCTCCAGGCTGAGCTATGGCCGGGCAGCCGGTGGACTCCCTCAGCCTCCAGGCCGAGCTGGGGCCTGCATGCAGGTCAAAACCCTCAGCATCCAGCCTGAGCTGGGGCCCGGTTTCCAGTAGAAACTCTCACCCTCCAGGATGATCTGGGTCCAACTTTGCGGTTGACCCCTTCAGCCTCCAGGCTGAGCTGGCGTGGTATTCACCGGCTGCCCAGCCATAGCTCGATCTGGAGCTTGAGGAATTTGACAATTAACCCAGCCACAGTTGCACCTGGAAGCTAAGGGGTCAACTGGCAGGCCGGCCCCAGTTCGGCCTGGAGGCTGAGGGTGTCAAGTCGTAGCCTGGAGGCTGAGGAGCTCGACCCAGGACCTTGAGTCTTCTAGGGCTGAAGGACCTTGAGTCTTCTAGGGCTCGAGGCTGAGCCGGGGTTGGCCTGCTTCTCCAGGCTGTGCTGGGGCCGGCCTGGTGGTCGAACCTCTCACCCTATGCTTATCAGGGACGGGCTTGATGGTTAAACCCTTCAGCCTCCAGTCTCAGGTGAGGCCGGGCTTCTTGTTGACCCCCTCAGCCTCCAGGCCGAATTGGGGCCTCCTGCCGGTGGAAACCCAACCCTCAGCCTCCAGGCCAAACTGGTGCAGGACTGCCAGTCAACCCCCAAACCCCCAGGCTGAGCTGGGGCCGGCCTGCTTGTGGAACCCCAAGCCACCAAGGTAAGCTGGCGCTGGAATACTGTTAGATCCGCTCAGCCTCGAGGCTGAGTTGGGCGGGCTGCCGCTCAACCCCTTTAGGTTCCAAGCTGAGCTGGGGCCTGCCTGCCACCCGAACCCCTCGCCTCCAGGCTGTGCTGGGTTTGGACTGCCAGTCAACCCCCTCAGCCTCTAGGCTGAGCTTTGATAGTCCTTAGGTTGATTTCCTCAGCCTCCAAGCTCAGCTAGGGCTGGCCCTCCAGTAGAACCCGTCAGCCTCCAGAGTGATGTAGGACCGGTTGGCTGGTCGACCCCTTGGCTAGAGACTGATATGACAGTCCTCTGGTCGACCCACACAGCTTCTCGGCTGAGATGGGGCCAACCTGCCAGTTCAACACCCTCAACCTCCAGGCTGACCTGGGGTCGGCCTGCCTGTCCACCTCCTTAGCCTCCAGGCTGAACTGCCGCAGCCTGCTGGTCAACCCCCTCACCCTCCAGGGTGATTTGGTGCCGGCCTGCTAGTCCACACCCTCAGCCTCCAGGCTGAGCTGGGGCTGCCTTCTTATAGACCCCCTCAGGCTCCAGGCTGGGCTGGGGCCAGCCTGCCCATCAACCCCTGTATTCTGGGCCTGGGGCCGACCTCCTGATTGACCCAGGAAGCCTCCAGTCTTGTGCTAGGGCCGGCCTCCAGGTCCCCTCAGGCAGAATCCAGCCTGGATCTCGAGCCAGCTTCCTGTCCTCCAAGGCAGAACCCAGCCTGTTACTGGGGCCGGCCTACTGGTGGACCCATGCAGCCTCCAGGCTGATGCCGGTGCCCACCTCCCTGTCCACCCAGTCAGATTCCTGCCTGGGGCTGGTGCCAGCCTCCCAGTCCTCCCCCATAGCCTCCAGTCTGGGCCTGGGGCTAACCTCCAGGTCCACTGAGGAAGAATCCAGCCTGGGGCTGGGACTGGCCTACTGGTCGAGCACGGCAGCATATAGTCTGGGGCTGGGGCCGGTTTCCTGGTAGACCCTGGCAGCCTCCATTGTGGGGCTTGGGCCAGATTACTGATGGCCCCAGGCAGCTTTCAGGCTGGTGCTGGGGCCAGCGTCCAGATCTCCCAGGCATAATCCAGCCAGCGGCTGGGGCCGGCCTACAAGTCCACCCCAGCATCCTCCAGGCTGGGCCTGGGGCCGGCCTACTGGTCGACCCCTGCAGCATATAGTTTGGGGCTAGGGCCAACCTTCTGATTGACCCTGGCTGCCTCCCGGTCGAACTGGCAGCCTCCAGTTTGGGCCTAGGGTTGACCTACTGATGGACCCAGGTAACCTCCAGGTGGGGCCTGGGGCCTGCATCCAGATCCACCCAGGCAGAATCCAGCCTGGGGCTGGGGCCAGCCTACTGATCAACCTAGGCAGCCTTCAGGCTGGTGCTGGTTCCAACCTCCAAGTCCATCCAAGCAGAATCCAGCCTGGGGCTGGTCTGGCCTCCTGGTCAACCCTCTCAGCCTCCACATGTGGCTGGGGCCTGCCTCCCAGTCAACCCTGGTAGCCTCCATGCTGGGGCTGGGGCTGGCCTACTGATGGACCCAGGCAGCCTCCAGGTCCA